TTTAACATCTATCTCTCATCACCTTCATTTAAATTTTCTATATATGACATTTCAGGATGTATTCACACCTGACACATTTGGTCCACCTTAAACAGACCAGAGTTTGTTTCCTCGGTTGGTCCAGACTGTTTGTGAAGGTGTGAATACACTCATGTGAACACTGGTGCAGACCAARCAACCGGACCAAGACCCACTTTTTGATGTGGTCTTGGTCCGCTTCCAATCAAACCCTGGTGTGGTTCACTTCTGGTCTGAATACAGACTGGCCTCAAATCAAACCAACTCCAGGAAACATACCCATTTTTGGACTTAACAAGCCACCGTGGCTAAAGCATCATAAGCTGTGTTTCCATCAACGTTTTTTAATGCGCATTTTAAAGTATCGCAGAAAARTTGAATGGAAACGGCGTGATTTGAAAAAAAAAAGTCCTCTAATTCGCAAAAAAGTTTACATGCTCACTTGAGGTGGTTCTTGGGATTTTTGAAAAAGAGTTAATGCGCAAAAGGAGAGATGGAAACACAATTACCGAATAAGCACCCACTTTGGATGTTATCATCCATGAAATGGACGTTATTAGGCATTATCAGTCCCCTGGAATGGCTTCAGAAGGCACAGTAGGGACCCTCTGAAGCCATTGTATGGGACTGATAACGCCTAATAACGTCCATTTCATGGACTGATAACATCAGAATCCCCTGGAATAAGTTCTGATGTAGTGAACACAAGGGTGATCAGCTGTTCMYGCTGTCTGAACGGTACTGGTACCAGAGCAACTGCAGCCGCGACTGGCAGCAGGACCCTCCTCTCACTGTTGGCGTCTTCTCAATTATTCCAGTAAGGTGAAGAGAATTGCATTTCTTTCTCTATGTCTCCAGACAGCAGTAATATCACCAGARCTAGCTGAAATGACAGAATGATTACTACTTTCCCGACAGTAGCAACACGTTCCTGATAACTTCATTGTCCTGAGATGTGTAGACCCTGCGAGTTTGTGACTTTACTTCCTGCTCACCACACACATGCGTCTGACATAACTGATTCGCTTCAAACCAGTTGATGGAAACACATCTGGTTCGCATTTCTTCGTTTTCTCCTTTTTGAGAAATTTTAAAAATTTGCTCAAAATTTGAATTAAAATTGGATTGAAACACGGCTATAGTAACAATTAGCCTTTCAATGCTGCTAATTCTACCAATGCGCTACAAACAACGAGCAGTTGAGGGTCAAGGAACACAGAGCATCTCGTTTCCTTTGGGTTGCGTCATGCATCTGCCAGTATCGTCCCAAATTTAGACTGAATTGGGATTATTTTATTATGGTGGCAATCCATTGGTACTGACACCATTTGGACCAGCCTTTAGCTCATCAATCTGATCAGCCTTCTTCTACAGGTTGGATATTAATTGTTCGTGTTTCCAAGAAACACTGAATCGTTAAAGTTCCTTTAAAAGCTGTTTGAAGCAGCAGTCGTTCACAGTGTTTCAAAGCGACASAGTTCAGAGCCCTGGTCCGGTCTGATGGSTAAGAGTTTAGGTCGGCATTAAGATGTTAGACCACACTGAAAGTTGGACGGCTGCACRAAGCTTGAGACTTCATTTTCTGCACATTGACTGATTTCACGGGGTTTCTCGTTAAATTGCTCCTGGATTGAGCGTATTGAGTCACTTGATGATGTTATGAAAGACGCTGTTTTGAAAAAAAAATAAATCTACCTGTCGCAGTCATGCTGAATGGTTCATCTACCTCTAATGTCCTTGTGGGAAAAGTGGAATATGTTTCTTTTTACCCCCTTATATTATTATTTTTTTGCTAAAACAAATCAAACTTTGAATTGAATTCAGTAATTTGCATTTATGAAGAACAAGATAAAAAAGGCAGGGGTAATAAGAGCTTCAGTGGTAAAAACAATGTATTTTTCTTTCACATGAAAACAAATTAAATACCCATTTCATTTGGCATTTATCTAATGCTTTACTTTGAATGACATATTACAGTTATTCCACAAATGTTACACCATCAGAGATATCTCACAAAGTAAACAAACATGTACAATTTAATGAGCGTTCTTGGGACTAGCTGTATTTTTTTGTAAGCAATTAAGGTGGTTGTTTAACTAAGTAATGGGAATGTAGGGAGGTTAAGGCAGGCTGTGTCTGCTTTCATTAAGAGTCCCAATGAAAACGGTGACTCATGAGGCTCGCCGTGACCTTTTTGTTGGACTAACATTTCTCTTCTTCACAGCAGAGACTTGCTGTTTGAGCTCAGAAACCCAGAGGCTACGATGAAGTTGGGGGCTTTTTTTAATTGTATGGTAGGGAGGRAAAAAAAAGGGAGAAGCGCTTATTATGAAGAGTTGATAAAAAGTGCATTTCGGTGCATTTGAGAGAAAACATCCCAGCATTTGGAACAATGAAATGATTGTTGTTTTTGTTTACCCACACGAGGCAGACACAGAGAGGATGGGCATTTTTAACCTCACAAAAGAATGTCTTTTCATTGAAGATGCAAATAATCAGCTGTGTGTGTGTGTGTGTGTGTGTGTGTGTGTGTGTGTGTGTGTG